ATGAATCTCTATTGATTGAATAACACTGAAGCAACTATAGTCATGTAATAGAAGACTCACAATATTGACCACCTTGTAAGGATGTTAAATAGGGTTATTCGACCCGGCCCTGAATTTTGAAAATCCAGTCCTCGATGAGCCTTATCTCTAGATGAGCCATGCCATATATCAATCAGAGGGTTTAAACTTATTGAGCATGTAAGTAAAATGTTATGGTTTATAAAGTTAATACAAGCCAAACTAAATCGAGCATTCCCAGTCAAGAAGACAAAGCATCCAACAAAATTTGCATAAACATGAGAACAAAAGGGAAAAACAAGAGGAAAATCTTGGTTTAGCTAAGGTTATCGAAGATTTCTTGAATCTCCAATTTCCGAGCTACTTGCATTTGTAGTAGCATCTACATCTTTATTATCAAAGTAATCTTCATTATCAAAGTATAACCCACAAAGAAACGAAATTCACAAACAATTGCTGCTAAAAGAGTTCACAAAGACAAATAATAAACTTTTTTTTTGTTGTTGTTGTCAACAGGACAAATAATAAACTAAATCGCAAATAATATACCTTGTCTTTGACAAGTAAGAATAGGAAGTTTTAGCATTTTCAGTCCTTGGCTTATCAACCTCTATATTTTAAATAAAACGTCGTGGTCTTATCGTTTTTGTTTATAGAGAAAGAAAAACTTAGCTCTCACTAAACCTACATGTTCATTGACTTTGGTCTTTGGCCCTTTTTAAGTCATGTTATCAAAATACAAGTTAAAGACTTAAATTTTTAACAAAGCCTAAGGCTAACTCTACATACTTGAGCCCATTTTAACATCTCTACCAGCTAGTTAGGTTAACCAAAATCCATCCTAGTTCGTTTTAATTATTGGTTGTTCTATTACGGTGTGACTAACTTAAATAAAACGGTAGCCATTTGTAGAAGAAAAAAAAAGTTCATTTTGAAAAAGTAATTAATTTGATGTTAACCGAATTAAAGGCTTAATGCTGTATTGTTTTGGGCTGTAAAACCCTTGGCTTAATCAGCCACGGCCCATGATGGACCAAAATCACGTTCACTCACGTGATAACAAAGTGGGAGATACTGTTGCTGTCATAAAGAGAGACAGAGTAATATAGCCTTGCTTTGTCTAAAGTCTGTCTACTTCCATAAGCTAGATGACAAAACATAAGAGGTTTTTTGATTTCTTCAAGGTTTTAATTAATAAGTTAAACATTAGTTTACCCAATAATTTCACACTGATTAGTTATCTTAATCGTAAATAAAATCAGCCATATAAAGATTAAAAGATGGGTTTGAGATGTGGAGCAGTAAAGCCTGTAAAACGGTGTCGTTATTGCCTTTATTGTCCCTTGATAACTAGACAAAACTCTTAATTTTATTACTACATGATTAAACCTACCCAACCCAAGTTAGTGGCCACTAACATGAATTCTTTTTCTTATTTTAATTTTTTTTCTCTAATCTTTCGGTTTTTGGTCAACCACTTTTCAGGGATTGTAGCTTTTTTTGAGAATCTCTGTCTTATCCAAGATTCTCCTCTTCTTCTTCTTTTTTAATTTATTTTAGAAAAAAAAATCTTATCCACCCGATGGAGGTGAGGGTCTATGAATTGATGGAGTTAGTATTATTTGGGATTAAATTAGTCTAAGTTTTGTTTTATTTATAGTAAATATAATGAAAAGTATTTGCGTACTAATCAAGTTTATAGTGCTAAAGAATCATTCGATTTGTTTTGACAAGTATGTGTGAACTTTTACATTGCACCGAATCTGCAAAAATCAACACGTATATCCGATCTTTTACAAAATTTAGTCGAATGAAAACAGGGGCAACAACAAAATAATTTAAACGACATTTTTATTTTATTTCAATTGGTGTAGATATATTTAGCCTAAATTGTCATTTAATGGAAAACACTAAAACAGTCCTTCCCAACTAACATTGTTTCAACACCTTATTTGTTTTTATCACTTGCATATGTTACAAAAACAAATTCTGCGTCAACAAGATAATCATTTTTCTGTCAATTCTATTATAATTGAGTTTCTATTTAAACCCCATCACCAAAGTAAAAAATA